CAGGATCCCCATGCCTCTCTCCGGGGTGTCTGGGCCCCCCCGTGGTGTCACCACGCCTCTCCTGGGGTGCCCAGGCTGCACCCCTCGGTGTCCCCTCCCTCCTCAGGTCCCCACACCACATCCCCACCAGTGCCCGGGGAAGCTGGGGACAATTTTTAGGGTCCGTGAAAGGGACCCACAGGAGCTGCATCACCGCAGAATTTCCCCCCTGGCTGGGGTCTGTGGGGTTTCCACGACTTGGCCACGGCGGAGCATCGCTGCTGGACTGGGAACGTCACACCGCGAAAATTTATTTTCCTGAAAAATCAGGAAAAAATCCAAAAATGTGGGGATTGCGAAAGATTTGCATGGAAGCGCAAGAAATAAAGTTGGAAAGGACTGCAAGGCTTCGGGGTGGCTTTGGTTCCCCTCCGCTGACGAAGCTGCAACACCCTCGAAAATGAATTTATTCCAATTTCTAAAGAGCCAGTGGGTGCAGCAAGGGCTGTAAAATGATTCCAGCGGCAAAAATACGGCAGAAGAGCTGCGTGCGTTGCCAGACGCATCTCAGGAATGGGCTAAAAATAGTTTTCCCGAAGGCAATATCCTCCGATGGCCCCATCCTGGACCCGCAAACAACCTTCCTGGTAGCGGGGATGCAATCAGGACCATCGTTTGGGGCAGAAAACGTGATTATCTGGAGTGTTAGAGAAAAAAAAATATTTCTTGCTTTTAATTCAGTTGATGGGTAATTCGGGAGGTGCCCACAATGCTCACACTGGGCATCACATCCTCTCCTCCTTTCCAGCCCTGGCACAGCTGATCGATTGGAAATATTTTTCAGTTAAAATGTGAAAATTTATTTATTTCTGGGATTTTGGTGTTCCTCATTAATTCTGCCGTCTTGGGCGCAGACTTTGGAAATTTCTCTTTTCTCCCCCCCCCTTTTTTTTTTGGTTTTTGTTTTTGTTTTTTAAACTGTTAGCAGAAAGTGAGCCCAGCTCTGGCCCCTTTTGCTGAGAATTTTCTAAGAAAAGTAGGCGAGTTTTCCCGGTGTGGATTCTCTGGTGTCTAGTTGTGGTTGTGCATCACCCTGCGAAGTTGGAAGGGGACATCTCCGTGACATGGGACAACAGCACACGGCAGCATTGCCATCCCTGGGACTCATCCTGGCCACATGCTCAGCACCTGTAAGTTTTTCTTCCCTAATGTATCGGGGTGTGCTCACCCTCGGCATCATTTCAGATCACTGGTGGAAAAAGCCAAGAAGCAAAGCGAAAACATGAATTAATCACACAAATAAAAATTTAAAAAACCAAAACCAAATATCTGGCACGTGTTTCAACATGGAAATTGAATATTTTGGAAAGGGAATTTGGATGGAAATGAGGCTGCCCAGAGGTATTTTCCCCAAGAAGGTTGATACTCGCCACCGCGGCTCGTTTGGGAGGTCAGCTAACGATGCAACGAGCCTTTGAGCACTTGGGCTGCCACATCGATGGGAAAACTCAACCGCCAAAGCTCCAAGGGAACGGAGCCAAGCGAAAGGATGCTCTTGGCCATCCTGGAAGAGTCTTGGGAGCTTCTACTTGAACGAAACAGGAAAAGAGAAGACAGATTTTTTTTTTTCTATGTCCCCTGCAGTGCCCAGTGCTTCAATTAAAAAAGAAAATAAGAAAGGGAGAGGTTTGTAGTTACTGAAAATCTCCTTGCTTGGACCATTTATCACAGGCACGGCTTTCCGCATCCATCCGTGTTTTACACCATTTTCCGATTCACTGACAAGGTATAAAACAAAGCCTGAATCTTGGCCACGCAGGGCTGGAAACCTGAATCCTCAAAGATTTCCTCCCCATTTCCCCCTTGGCATGTGTTTCATCTCATCAAACAAACTGAAATCCGTGCGGCGATGTCACGAGACTCCTGAGTCGCGATCCTGGAGAGCAGAGACGTGGGAGTATTGCCATTGAAGGGTTTGGGCATTTTTTGGAAGAGGAAAATTCTACAGTCAAATCAACTGGAAGAAAAAAGGTTTAAAAGCTGAAAGGCGTAAGCAGGATGCACAGGTCCCCGTTTATCCTGGATATTTTTGATGCTTCCAGCTGGATTTCCTGCTGCGCTCCCTCTGCAGACGTCGCTGTGGGTTGTGTTGGCGCTGGAAATGTTTTTTGTTCATTTTATGGCACAGCTTCAAGTCGGGCGATGCATGAGGGTGTTGCAAAATGGCCCGTAGCATTTCCTTCAAATGCCCCCAGGGATTTTGCGAATCGATGTGCTCAGCACACGTGTGGCTGCCCCGTTGGTCATGGTCTCGTGGCTGCAGCTCTTTGGGGTGTCCCAACGCTGGGGGACATGGCATGGACCCACCCAAGCACCGAAAAGAGGAGACATCCTGGGGATGTTCTGGGGACATAACAGATTGGGGCAGGAGGTTTTTAAGGTCAGGATTTTTATCTCCAGGTGGTTTATGTGCCTGGAGGGGCATGTTGTGCTCCTGTCCCCACTGCCACCGTGTTCCTGTCCCGGTTGTGCTCCTGTCATAGAATCATAGAATCACAGGATGGTTTGGGTTGGAAGGGACCTTAAAGATCATCGAGTCCCACCCCCTGCCATGGGCAGGGAC